AAAAAAAAAAAAAAAAAATTGTTTCCTTCTGTATTTCTGATATCCAAAGAACCGTAACAACTAAAAATAAAACAATTCTATAAATTCATCAATAATCAGCATATTTATTTTAGAAAAAAATCTGATGTACAAGTTTGATTTCCATCTTATCAAGATTTGCTTGAGATTGCTCTTTGTATCTCTCTAGCAGCAAAAGTAGCATCTACTCAAGAGAGCTGTAAATGCAATTATATAGCCATGTCTTGCACATGTTAACCTCAAATACCACATAAGCTCAGACACATGCAAAAAATAAAAATAAAAGCAAAAGAAAAAGGAAAGGAAAACAATGGTGACTATGAAAACAAGGGATACAAGATAGGAGAAAGGGTAAACAAGGTACTATATCGTATGACTGCAATGAGCATAGCATCCCACAGGGAAGACTGAATGAAAGCAAGATATCATCAAGTCCTTCAAATGTTTCAGTTCCAAACTTTTCAAACGAAATAGTCACCCGCAAATCAGATTATAAACATCATGGCACGCACTTGACTTGCACGAAAATGCTCTGGGGCATTATTTCTATGCCAGATGTCAAACTCCAAGGAACATGCATCTTGTTCTGAACAGTTATAGAAGTCTTTTACCAAACTCATGATGCCAATCATTAAAAAGCTTGCTTAAAAATAGTTTAGAATGACTCTACCAAGTTAAATGGAGGTAAAGAGACAGAATTCTTAAATGTGATTCTCGAGCATCATAACATCAAATAGAATCAAACGAAACCAATAACTATTATATAATTCATCTAACAACCAAGGAACCACAAAGGTAAGCATTCCAGGGTTCAACTTATTCAATAACCACTCAGTGAAGCAAAGCCAGCTTCCACATAATATCCATACCTCAATTTTTTTCTACCTTTACATGTTCAAAAGCAAAGAAAGCTGTAAAGCATCAAATGCAAGCCTTCAACTTTGCATGATATGTTCAGAGCTACACCTTAATCACAAACTTTCGTGCACATTGAAAAACCAAAAGCTCGCCAGAGATTGCACCAGCAGAACAATGTCACAAAGAACCAATTATTCTATACTGCTCTGATCAGTAATAAGCATCATCTTAAAAATGGAAACAAGAAAACCAAAATATGCATAAAGAAAGCTAGGACAAACACAAATAAGTGCAAGTGATATCAATCCATAATCATAACAACAAAAAACACAAATAGCATGAAAGCACCGTAAGCAGAGAAGCTGCTACACTGCTGCAAATGTAAGCAACCACAGAGCATACGTTACTCTTCCCCATGTCTTCTTTAAACATTCTACAAATATATTATATATAAAAAGGAACAGATAGATAAAAGAGGTAAATTCACTTATCACTTCTTCAAGCTGCCACGGACACCGGGCTTAGGTTTGGAGGTCTCAGCAACATGGCCGGCGTGTAAATTGTTGAGCTTGGACTCGTCGAAGGGGATTTTGGGGTGGCGAGCGTCGTGGTGGATCTGCATGGTCTTGATGTCCGGTGCGGTGATCTTGCAAAGGGGGCATTCGAGCTTGGCGTGGCCGCCCTTTTCCTGGCCGGAGCGATCGGAGAGGCCGGCCTTGCCTCCGCCGCGGTTGGTGGTGGCAGCGTCAACTTTAGCAGCAATCTCCTTGGCCGTGTGCTTCTTGGGTTTGGCTTTCCCAGTCATGGCGATATTAGGTCTGAATTGATTGATTGATTGATTGATTGATTTTCCCCCAAACCCAAGTGCGTGCTGAAGCGACGAAGACGAAGTGCCCTAAAGGAGATGATAAGGACAAACGTTTATAAATGTGGACTGGACGGGCTTGTTTGGGCTACAACTTTAAATTGACAAAAGGCCCAATATATTAGTTTGGTGGGCCTGTACTATATTCCCCTATTGGGATAACGACGGGAAAAATTCTTAACTGCGTCAGAGTAAAGAACTTATTCCATAAAACAAGCAGCACAATTACAATTTCACAAATACCTCATTTTGTAACTGCCATTGATTTTGAATTAAAACAGAAGTTAATAAAAACAACAATTACAAATTAAATATAAAACCACCTAATTAAAATATATTTATCTATCATTTTTCTCTCTCCTTCTCTCTTCTTTCATCTATGTATTTCTTCCCTTTTTCTTCTTCTTCTTCAAATCTTCCTTCTTGTTCTTCACCAACATGAATGCTTAATAATTAAAAAAAAATTGATCAAAAAATTATACATATAAAATTTATTTCAAAAAGTAGGCAATTAATGAATACGTTGAAGGCGACAAAAAAAAAAAAAAAAAAAAAAA